CATATTGGCTCCAAGAATGGTCATAGTTCTTGTCCGATGCGGAGACTGGCACGATAAGGCGCGCGGGTGGCCCCTAAATAAAGGTATTATGGAGCACAGGTGTATATACGAGGGTGGTACGGATACACTACATGATGATCTCGCTTGAGACGTATAGCACTGGTTCCAAAATTTCCAAAAATCTCGGCCCCAACTTTCCGGACCTCCGGATTTCCAAAATTTCCAAAAATCTCGGCCCCAACTTTCCGGATGTCCAAAATTTCCAAAAATTCCAAAATTTGCAAAATTTCCAAAAATTCCAAAATTTCCAAAATGGCCCGACCTAGTGGACAGGATTCTTCCAAAACATAGGGGCGGACTTTTTGGAAATTTTGGAAATTTTGGAATTTTCGGAAATTTTGGAAGTTTTGGAAATTTTGGAAATTTTGGAAATCCGGAAAGTTAGGGGCGAGAATTTTGGAAATTTTGGAAATCCGGAAAGTTAGGGGCGAGAATATTGGAAATTTTGGAATTGAGTTTGTGAGNNCAGTTGAGAGGGCATGGTCTGTCAAGGGGGGGGGCGACCATATATATATATATATATGTGTATGCAAGTATGGTCAGTGTTGCCATGTATGGTTCCCTCAGCGGAAGCCGCACTCAGGTCCAAGAATGCCCAGCTACGCACATTCTAACAGGCGAACATGGCTTGAAGTCCTTGCCGCTGATCAAGTTGGTGCGCAAGTGGCAAGTCTCCAGTTCTTTGCAGACCTCGCAGTGGAGGTCGAAGACTGGGGTGCGGAGTTCAGACGTAGCCAGGGTCATAGGGCTTTGGGTTGTAATGACAGGCATTACAGGGTTTGGAAAAGCAGGACTCTACATTCCTCGTGGGCTGGGGACGGATGTATGAAGTCTGGTCACGTCTTCCAGACTTAAGCTTTACCTCAGTAGGAATGATCATGATGATGATGGTGAGGATGAGGATGAGCATGAAGATGACGATGACGATGAAGATGATGATGATGATGATGACCATGGTGATGGTGCCAAGTGCTTACGCTACTGCTCCCTACCTCTGCTACTGCTCCCTACCTCTACTACACCGACTATGCCCTTGCTATCATGAATCTTCGCTCTCCTACCGTATTGAGCCTTGAGAGACAAAGCCCTGGGTACCCCAAAAAATAGGCCATGGCTCGGGCTTCGGGTGTAGGGCTTCAAATTTAAGGGTTTAGGGTGAACCCTTAAGAGACCCTATATCAGACCCACCAAAAACACGCCGCCACCGAGAAACCCTCCCGTGCTCAATACCCCAAAAACTCCCTGTAAACCCTGTAAGGCCCTTTATACACTGTGATCCGTATAAACCCTATACACCCGATAATACCCTATAAACCCCATAAGCCCTATAAATCCTACACCCAAAACCGTAAAACCCTACTCAGCCCAAAACTCAAACAAAAACGCTTCCTTTGAAGCTTCTGGGTCGGTTTAGGGTTTAGGGTTTAGGGTTTAGGGTATGAAGCTTCTGGGTCCCGCCTCCCGCGCCACAGAAACCTTCGGAACGAAGATCACAGAACGGCTCCCGGGCCGAGATTGCAAGGATCGCCGTACGATCATGGCATAGATCCTCAGATGGTTCTAGGGCTTAGAGGGTCTAGGGTTTGTAGAGGTTGGTGTAGGGTTTAGAGCATATAGAGTGTAGGATTTAGGGTTGGGAGATCAGTTTAAACTTCGATGCTCAGGATTTAGATAGGGTTGCCAGCCGAACTCTGGCAACTTCATCCGGAGCTCCGAGCCCGCTCACACCAAAGATCCCCAAATTACCTATCGTCTCCACCGTACGTAGTTTCTTTCACGGTCTGGCTTGCAGGATCCCAAACATATGTAAAGCTTCACCAGAAAGGAGCTACAATGGCGACTCATATCTATTCTTCATAACCCTGATAAGGAACCATGTATTCAAACAGGTTCCTTTAAGGGCTCCTTTGAGGGCACCATAACGGTTCTATGAGGGGTTCTACATCACCTACCGCAGTATAATAGGGTCCAGGGTATAACCCTAAGGCTCCATGTACCTTTATAGTCGATACTCAGGCCTTAAAGTACCTTTCTAGGGACCCCTTTTAAGGCCTAAGTATCTACCATAAAGGTACGTGGAGCCTTTGGGTAAGAGACTTCTGATGCCAGCTAAGGCAAGGAACAGGATGGTGAAGGACGCAGATACCTGATGCAGGGGTGGCAAAACATTGGCATGAGAGCTTCAGCTTCAAGGGTCACATACCGTTCCTACAGCTTTGCATGGGCTGCTGCATATATGTATATATATATATATATATGCATATCTCTATATCTATATCTATATATATATGCATATATATATATATATACACATATCTATATATCTATCTATATATATATATAATGTTCTACAGGATTCGCGTCCGCGGTTGGCAAGAGCTGGCCCCAAAGAACATTGGTTTAATCTCTTGTACCCAAAAACATAGACCCAAACCCCCTAAACCCTAAACCCCTAAACCCTAAACCCCTGAACCCTTAAACCCTAAACCCTAACGCTTCGATTCCTGGCTGAGGTTTGTCCTTCGGACTAGACTTTGCCTGCCCTTCTAACAGGCTCCAGTACTCCGCATGGCGAGTCTAGGAACAGGAAATCTGAGGGTCTAGGGCTCACAGGGTTTAGGGTCTAGGGTTTAGTAATGTTCAACATGGTTCCAAATAAGATGACCCTCAGGATCAGAAAACCACAGCCTGGCGTTTCTGAGCGCGAGAGATGTGATGAGGAATACCGAACTTCCAGAATCCATGCGCGCAGTTGGGGGGGGAGTTGGGGTGTTGTCCCGAGTGACAAAGACTCCTAAACCATCTAAGTCTAAACCCTTCAACGCCTAGTTTACTGGACTTCCGGCTAAATGTTAATAAAAGCCAAGGTGCCACCTGCAAACGCATCGGCCTGCCTTCCTGGCTGTTCACTGCTTCAACATCGCGGAAGAAGTGTGACACAACGTGGTTCCTGGGCTCGGGTTCGCTATTCGGCTGATGTTTTGTTGGGGAGGGAAGTCTACGTCCGTGCCACCCACACGTTTCTGAGGTGCGCATGGGGCTCAGAATATTCAAAAGAGTTAAACCACAAAACAAAACAAAACAAAACACACACACACAAGTAGAAAAAGCTACTAGTCACGGCCTCTGTTCAGCATGAGGCCCGAAGCGTCCGGCATGTCCAGTGGTTCCACAGCATCCGGGGTTTCCAGCGATCTACCTCCATCCTCACTTATTGGAATACTCCTGCCACGAAGTGAAGCGACTTGGGTGGGTACCACCGTGAAAGTACCTGGGATGCACCGCAGAAACAGGCTGATAATCGGTATAAGGCTTAGAGTAGAGTTTACGGCTCCGGCAGGGGTTTTTGGCAGGGTAGCCCTAAACCCTAAACCCTAAATTCCACTTTGCAGATGCCCAACCTGTTCCGTCCGCAGTGGCAATCGGCAGCAAGGCCAACACCAAGGACAACGCAAACGGCAATGTTTGCCACATGACTGCCCATGCCCCTATGAGGGGATGCTCTGAATCTTCCCTTGCTTCGTCAGGGACTGGGAGTGCTTAGAGTCTAGGATTGTTTGGTGTTTTAGTATATTGCCGCCGGCAGTTCGCAGTCTCGGGAATGTTTCAGCAAGTCTCCCGTGCGAAATCGAGGATCATGTTTCACAGCTCCAGCTGTGACGGCTGTCTGATACTACTGCGATGCTCAAGGTTCTGTGATGTTCTGCATTAGGGGTCTTGCATCTTCTGAAACTCGCACTTGGTAGCACAAAAAGCCATGCGCAATGCTTACTACATCATGGTCCGCTTTGTCCTGTCATATTTCAACAGACACGGGCGCGACAGCTTTCAATCCATGCATGCAGCAAGCACTGACAGCCGTCGTGAAATAATGCCACCTACAGGCACACATGTTGTAAGATGTCCTCATGTCACTTTCCGTCTGAGGCGATCTCTGTGGTGGTGACACTTCATGTAACATGAGTCCACCAGATGTGAGCCCGCGTAACCAAATCTACCGCGTCCCGTCCAAGTTAGGTGTGGCTCTTCGGAACAGTGTTGTTGCTTAGAACCTGAATAGGTGAAGAAACATGAAGCATCCCACACCAAGAGATTGAGCTCTGAATGTGCCAAGTCTACACCCTCAACCCCACCACTTTCAGTCCTGATCTCAGGACCGTGCAAGACAGTCCGGGCCAAGGACAGCGAGTCCTGCCCATGCGGCTGGGCCATCAAAGACCAGCTACCACATGATAGGTATGTATACTGTTGCTTGAGAGGGCTAGATCCAGGCACGCAGGCAACAAGGACAGTAAACCACTATAGTTTTTCTTCATCTGGAGCTTGGCGACGAAAGCGTGGGGGGGGATATGCCACTGTAAGACATTAGGGTGTTCTTCCGAGGGCCTGCTATGCAGGCCACCGAGAAGCCTTGAGCGGTTTCTCTGAGCCTACATGGAAACCATGCACGTACAAACAACTTACTTCTCTGTCCATCTACCTGTCCATCTCATGCATCCCCATCCATACCGCCCATACCGCCTGTGTATCTGCATGTACAACAGCACATGATAGGTAAAAGCTCACCTAAAAATCTTGGATTCCAATATTGACCCATAAACAATAGGGTCCTTGCTCTAAAGTTGAACTAAAGTTGAATTTAAAGGCAGTCGTGGACAAAAAAAGCAACAGACAGTAGCCGCAGCCTTCGTCATGGAGTTTAGTTTAGGGTTGGAGTTTAGGGCTGATGATTAGGCTTCAGGTATTTCGGAGTTACAACTCAGTATGGTGGGGCTCCGGCCCGCTGTAGAACTTACTGGGCGCAGAAGGATGCTGCAGGCCATTGTACATACAAGACAGAGCGAAACTGTGAGCCAAGAAGACGGGAAGACAACACCAACTTATCTCGCACCTTGCGACTGTATGTCTCGTGTATAAATCCGGGCGAGTTGAAATCTTGGCACAGTGCATCGTGTGACTCACCGATAACCAGAATTTAAAGTGCCTTAGACCTTAGAATCGGGTTGCGAGGCATACTCAAGTACATTGTACAGCGGCTAACAGTGATTCGATTTCTAGTTTCCTGTCCTAAACTCTAAACCCTAAACCTAAACACTAAATCCCCAAACCCTAAAGTCCTATACTACTCAACCTCCTAGGCCCCAAGCCTGGTGAGACTCTATCCGGCTTATGCCGCAACCCTGAAGCGACGAATGCAGGGCCTGTAGATTTAGGATGAGGTAGGCCTTAAGGTTTAGGGTTTAGGCGGGTTCTGCTTCAGGGTGCAGGTGCCATAATCTAGAGTCTAGATTTTATGACATCGAGGAGCCGGCTGTACGGTCCAGTAGCAGAGCAGGTGAGAATGACAGACAAGTGGAAAGGCAACCCCCTGGCACGTCTCCCTTTTGATTTAAGTTTTGGGCGGAAAACCTGGAGAAAATCACCGCCATCACATGTTACGAGGATAGAACTCCAGATGAGGATTGAGACTTTGAGGGTGCAGGGACGCCTGAAATTTGTGGATCGCATCCTCGAACCCCCAATACCAACTCCGAGACGTCAATCCGAAGCTCGTGCAGTACCACCTCCGTCATGGGGGCTTCCGACAACAAAGCAGCGTCCAGTAGCCTGCCAGACACATCCCCCCCTAAGGGTCCAGGACTCCATGTACCTTTATAGTCGATACTTAGGCCGTAAAGTACCTATATAGGGACGCTTTTAAGGCCTAAGTATTTACCATAAAAGTACATGGAGCCTTTCGGTCCGGTTGAAGTCTTGCCCGAGACGCTGCTTGTGCGGCTCGCACCACTAAACCTACGTTGCCAGCATCGAAAAAGTCACTCAAGACACCTCTCAAACTTCACCCTACCTGGTGCTTGTGCTGGCCTTTTCCATGCTCTGTCCCCATAATATAATCGTGGTAAAAGGTACCACACCGTTTTTGCACTGAGCCGGAGCAGCGCAAGAGGCCTCCAGGTAGTCTCAGGGGCGCAGGGATCGCAGGCATTAGGAGCCCTTCAGTTCTTCAGACGCGTCACTGTCTCAAGTGGGACGCCCAACAATCACGTGCAAAAGAAAATCACCATACATCTTAAGCCAAGCTTGTCGGCTGTAATATGGCATGCTTACACGGAGAGTTTGCGACGAGGATCCCTATCAAAACGTGAAACTCCAAGCCATATACTATTACTATTAAACAAAAATAACAATTATCATCATCATCATCATCATCATCATGATACGCCTTAAACCCTGCACCTGAGCTCTCATCTGAGGGCTCTGCCCTGTATCCCAGGGGCATTCATCGCTTTCCTGCTTCGAGCAGACGGTTCGGAGGTTTCGGGTTTCGGATGAAGCAGCCCTATGCATAGGTGCGAAACATTACAAGCAGAGGTCGAACAAGCCGTAATCCAACGATACGCCTATCTATCTATCTATCTGTCTGTCTATCTATCTATCAGTCTATCTAACAGTCTATCTATCAGTCTATCTATCTAGCTAGCTATCTATCCATCTATCTATCTATCTGTCCATCTACCTACCTATCTATCCACGCATCCAGCCATCCATCCACCCACCCAGCCATCCATCCATCGATCTGTCCATTCATCCGTCCATCCATCCATCCGTCCATCCATCTATCTCACTCTACATGCATAAAAACACTTACATATAAAAATATACGTGTATATATATATATATATATGTGTGTGTGTGTGCGTATCTAAGACCGTGAAATATAACAAAAACCAGATAATGTGTATAATACGTGTATTATTATTCAGGTATATTTACATATATACACACACGCACTTACACACACACTCACTCTCTCTCTCTCTCTCTCAGTCTCCCTCTCTAATCATAGCTGTGCCCTGAATCCATGACACACTAAAACCTGCATACCTATCTACAAGCTTATCCATGCATGTACGTATGTATGTATCTAGGTGAGTATGCAAGTACACACTAAAGTATGAATATGTCAGTATATGTTGCTGATACTTATTGTATGTATATATGTATATATGTATACAGAGAGAGAGAGGCATGCATGTCCACGCACATTCACACACTCTCCTATGGATAGATGGATATATATATATATATATGT